TCCTGAGATATGTCAAGGGTACCTCCAATGTTACATTATGTTATGGAGGATCAGACATTACTGTCAGAGGCTATGTTGATTCAGATTATAGAGGTGATCTTGAGTTTACAAGTGAAAGACTTCTCTTCTTAATAAATGATGATTACAAGATTAGGTGTAAGAAGAGAGGTAGGTAAACATTTTAACAAATAACAATGAATGAATCTCAAGTGTTTGATGTGTAAATCTTTAATGTAAGAATAGTTTTCAAGAATGAGTTTTGATCAAAGATTTTTCGAGAGCTAAAAATGATTTGATAATAAATGATTTGTAGGATCAATGTAGGCTCAAGATTTATCAAATTTGATGCTCAAAAGTATGTTTACAAATGGTAGGTGAGTTGGTATTTATAGCAGTTGAAAAACGCCAAAGTCTCTGTCCAACAGGACGTCCGGATCAAAACCGGATGACCCAACTTTCCGTTAGAAACACTTTGTCATAACGGTAAAAAAAGTGACCGTTCCTGACGAACTGGAAGATCAGTTCACCATCCGGACGTCCAAATGACCAAATTGTTTTATGGGTCATTTTCCTTTTTGTTTTGTTTGCAAATAATGTTTTTCCCTGATTTTACAATATAAGTTTGTTTTGATTATTTTAGAGAAATATGTTGGAAAAACTTTCTTTTGAAGGGTAATTTTGTGCAAACATTTTTGTCTCGTAAAATGTGTTGAGTGCAAGAAAACTATTACTCGAACTCGAAAGTGTCATTGTTAGGATTTTAAAGTGATTTACCTTTACAATCGACTCGAGAAAAATCTAGTTACAAAGTCTTTGATAATATGGCGCGTAAAGCTTGTCTTCATGAGTGGTCGATCAATCTTTGTTTAAGCTTCCTTGATTGACAACATTTCGTTTAATAGCTTTGATTCAATTTGCCAACATGTAAATGTAAAGATTAAGTTAGAGATAAACATAAGTTGTTTGTTATAATTAAAACATAGGTCAACAAGAAATTCTTGTAATCCTTTTTCTATAGCGAAATCTTTCTACAATTTGTCTGTGGTTTGTCCACGTAAAATTTTGGTGTTCATTACCTTTCATTTCTACTTCAATTGTAATTGTGTGCCCTATACCACAACGTTCTAACACTATGCGGCCGCATAGAGTCAAAAAACTTCAAACTGAAATCTGGTGCCTTTTTTGGATGGAAAATCGCCACTCTTCATCATGTTCAGTACCATTTCGTGTAGTATTAATTGAAATCTATAAATAGATGCCTAATGATCAACACAAAACAATTGAAAACCAATTTTTGAGATATCATATTTCATTCCAAAAAGAGAAAAGATCAAAAACTCTCTTATTTCATATTCAAAATTCTAGTTTTTTTGTACTCTTAAGTTTTGAAAGAATTACACTAGTGTTTAAGCGTTTATTCTTTTCAGGGCTTGATAAATCTTTCAAACCATAAGTCGAAAGTCCCTTTAAGCATCAAATTCAATCCAAGAAGGGGTAAATATCGTTTGAGGACAACGATTTCGTGTTTGAGCCTTCAACTTTTATTCTGATTTTTCTTGATTATATTATTTTGTTTTTTCTTCAACCCCTTGTATGAAGCATTAATTCCAATAAATTTCAAACCCATTTCAAGAAACAGTTAAGATGAGGTGTAATTTCATATTGCTATAACCAATCAAAATATGCATTCAATCACTCAATGATCTAAACTTTTCGATAATCAACGTGATGACAAGCCTATTTTACAGTTTNAGATGAGGTGTAATTTCATATTGCTATATCCAATCAAAATATGCATTCAATCACTCAATGTTCTAATCTTTTCGATAATCATCGTGATGTCAAGCCTATTTTACAGTTTATTGGACTTTAAAAAGAACTCGTTGAAGCAAAATGTAGTGTAAGATTCTTAAATATGTTACTCTTATTTGTGTCTACGAATCGAGGGGATTTCTCCTCATTCGATGACAAGTTGCCGGGTCTAGTGCACAAGGGAAGAGTCCAGAAGATTTATAAGTTTTTAATTATTTTGTTGTTATATTGATTTGTTTTAAAGTTGGATATTTGTAAATACTTTGATCGAATTCACCGATAGAAGGATTCACTTTGGTAACTCTTCAAAGATTGGAACTTTTGTCAAAGTAAGGATTTCCTTAAAAGAAAATGAGATTTTGAATAATGATTTTTTTTAAGAATGCGTGGTTAAAAAATCGAAAAAAATTAGAATTTACGTATAAATGTTTTATTATATATATGTGCGATTAAAAATGAATATGAGAATTGAAGACTTGTCAATGGCTAAATTGTGTACTATCATTTTCTTGTGACCATGCACCACTTCCTTTTGATTTAGACAGCCGACCAAGTAACACAGCCCACAACTTCTTTTGAGCCCAGTTTTCTTTTTGAAACGTGGCAATCCCATAGCCAAGAGTTTTAAAGACAATTTATCATAATAAAAAACAGATTGTTTCTTAATTAACACAAATAATTGGTTGGTGGTTGACGAAGACGGGTAGTGAGGTGGCACAATGTTAGTGGTTAAAGGAATCAAAGAATGTGGAACTGACGGTAGTGGCGGCGGCCGGCGAGTGCATGGCTCATGATTGATGGTCGGTTCTTATGACGTGTCGCACTAGTCCCTTGATTTTGACATGCCGTCCATGGACATCCCCATCATTTTGGTATTTTAATTTCTTGAAACACTTTTACAATTTTTAAGAATATAAATTTATATATATATATATATATATATATTACATCCTCAGAATTGAAAACAATTGATAATTTGTGGTCATCTTCCATTTTTAATAACCTCTATAACTATTATGAAGCAATGATAAATCGAAGTTATTGAAATGTTAAAGTCGGTATGACTAATAATTATTTCTCCCGAATGAAATTTCTTCAAAAATAGTGTACTTTTATTAGTTTATATATATTTATCACGAGTACATCAATAAGCATACACATAAAATTGAAATTTTAGGTGATTTTATTTCTTAAAATAATAAAAAGGATATATTCCTTCCATGTTAACAGAGATGTAGTGGTGTTAATGAATCGAGTCAAGCAGATTTGACCCTTAAACACACACGAGCTTGGCTTGTGTCGATAAACAATTATCGTCATTCCTTTGGCTTGTGAGCCTTATGGATCGAGTTGAGTCATCCGTGAATTAATAACTCGACTCAACCCTTTTATATAAAAGAAATGGATAGAATGCGTCAAAAAACAAGTCCTAAAACGAAATCGTTCATGATTTCACGAGTCCAACCGTTCCACTCGTAAAAAAGAATAAGGGTGTTCGATTCGATTCATGGCTCATTTTAAAACGAGTCCGAGTTGAGAACCGCCCCACCCCTATATGGATGAAACAATAAAACCATGCGTGGGGCACAAAAGTCACCATTCAAAGAATCCATTAAAAGAAGACAACACGAGAATGGTGATAATGGTGGGCGGGGGGTGGAGGTGGGGTCACTCAAATTAGTGAAATGGGTCGGCAAAGTTATGTTTAATTATTCTTCACCACCATATAAATACCCCTTCACTTCCAGCAGCTCTCATCATCAGCAGAAAACGCACTTCTGTTTGTACATTCAAGAACTCTCAAAACTTTTTCTCTTTGATTCAGTGCAAATGGGTAAGGACATTGAGGTCGGCGCCGAATACACCACCAAGGACTACCAAGATCCGCCACCGGCTCTGCTGATTGACCCGGAGGAGCTAACCAAGTGGTCATTCTACAGGGCCATTATAGCTGAATTCGTAGCAACGCTCTTGTTTCTGTACATTACTGTTTTGACTGTGATTGGGTACAAGAGCCAGAGCGCTGCCGATGAATGCGGTGGCGTCGGGATTCTTGGCATAGCTTGGGCTTTTGGTGGCATGATTTTTGTCCTCGTTTACTGCACTGCTGGCATTTCCGGTAAGTACCTTAATGTCTAGATTTCGACCTACCAAATTCCCTTTAGAGGGAAGCTAGAAATTGTGTTACATGTACGAATACTCAATATAATCCTAATGGGTGCAGGAGGGCACATCAACCCGGCAGTGACATTAGGCCTATTCTTGGCCCGTAAGGTGTCACTGATTCGGGCCATCATGTACATGGTGGCGCAATGTTTAGGTGCCATTTGCGGTTGCGGATTGGTGAAGGCATTCCAGAAGTCTTACTATGTAAAATTTGGCGGCGGTGCCAATGGACTGGCGGAAGGGTACAGCAACGGCACCGGATTGGCGGCAGAGATCATCGGCACATTTGTCCTTGTTTACACTGTATTCTCTGCCACTGACCCCAAGAGAAATGCTAGAGACTCCCACGTCCCTGTAAGTACATTTTTAGTCCCCTTTTTGTAGTAAAGCCCGGTTTGAAATCGCTTAGGATTGGACCCTGTTGACACTAGCTAGGTCAAGAATTTGTTTCCTTTGTTCGTGTTGATTAATCCAAACTGAAATTAATATTTGACAGGTTTTGGCACCTCTTCCAATTGGATTTGCTGTGTTCATGGTTCATTTAGCCACAATCCCAATTACCGGCACGGGTATCAACCCGGCCCGAAGCCTTGGAGCTGCTGTTATCTATGGCAAAGACGAGGCCTGGGATGATCAGGTATGCTATATTTTCATTGTTTTACAATTTGAACCTTATATCCAGGGAAGAAAAAACTAATGTTAATTCTCGTATATTTTGCAGTGGATTTTCTGGGTGGGACCATTCATTGGGGCAGCCATTGCTGCATTTTACCACCAGTATATTCTGAGGGCAGGAGCTGTAAAAGCTCTGGGATCATTCAGGAGCACTCCTTATTGAGAATCAGCATCATCAAGAGGAATTTGATTCCATGGAGAAATTGTAAATAAGCATGAAAAGAGGTCTCGGGCCCTTGTTTTAAAAACAGGGCCCTACTCTATTTTCCTTCGACTGTTTTTTTTTTTTTGAGTGCTGGCCTCTCTTTTCTTATGTTTGTGAGTGTTCTTATGGTGTTCTTAGTGTCTAAATAAAAATGTTATCCTTTTTTATGTTATCTTTGTGCTTCACCATACTAAGAAATGATTTTGTTGCAAGATTGTGTCGACAACATATCTATCGATCACAATGAAAGTTTAAAAATATACTTGAAATCAAGGATTACAGTACTAAACCGTGTACATGAGGATGTTACGTCTCATCTCACGTGGTTTTATATATGGCATTAAAGTGATATTTACAATTACTTCACAACGATAGATAACTAGTTTCGTCGCTCAAAAGTAAAGGACTTCTTTGACAAGTTCAGAGGCCAAAAGATTGGACGAGTTATAATCCCATGCCCACCTCCTCAATCTTAACATTTGATGTCGAGTTGCAACGACAAGACTCTCTAGCTTCTTGGTGCCTCAACAATTTGACAGACTTTCTTTTGAGTATGATTTCTGTAGGAAGGTTAAAGACTATGCAGTTGATATGTTTGAACTGCATGGAGACTAGGCAAATTTGAACATTCTTTAGGGAGCATTGGGATCGTAGATCAAGGCTATCTGCATCCTTATTCCTCTAATAATTTTGAGCCGGAAGATCCAGATATCTTATGTTTGGTATGATGACCAGATTTGGGATGCGACCTCACAAGTTCTAGTTCATCTATTTCTTTACATTGCACTCTTCGTTTTCGAGCAGAGTAAGCTTTTTTTTCTTTTACACGGGGCCTAGCCCCATCTTAAGTGTGTACTACTTTATTTTATATTATTAATAAAATAAATAAAGCCATAATTTAACTCGTATATTAAGATTTGTGTATGAGCAAATTTTGAGCTACACAAAAACCACCAATCATGTTTGTTTTACGAACTATGTCTGTTGTAACGAATCTTTTCCAGATTGCTACGGTTCAAAGCCTTTAGTAGAACCTGTAAGCTTAGCGCTTGGGGGGTTAATTGATGGTTCAAAAGCATGAATTTTTGGTCTGAAAATCTGTTCCCATTGCTATGCTTGCATATTCTAACATTGAAAAAAGTGCAGGTCTGTCTTTGGAACTATTAAAAACTTCCAAGTAATGAGCTTGTTTGGTAGGAATTTTTTGGGGGAAAAATTGATTTTGAATAGTGATATGATGGGAAATTTGTGGTAGAAAAGAAGAAATAATTATTGAAGTGATGGAAAATATTATTTTATTGAAAAATGTGTGATTGAAATGAGAATTGATTTACTGTAGAAAATTAGAATCCTTACTTATCAACAAACTTAGCATTTATGAGGTTTTGATCTGACAACGTTTTTGCAAGAGTATTGATTTTTAGAAAG